GCGCTTTTAAAGGCAATCCCGTGCTACGAGAGGGCTGTTGAAGGCAATCCTGTGCTACGAGAGGACTTTTAAAGGCAATCCTGTGCTACGAGGCTGTGCTACGAGAGGGCTGCTAAGGCAATCCACATGGCTGTCATCCCTCGAGATACTTTCATTTTGTTAGCATAGTGTTTTTTCCCAGGTGAGGGTTGTTAGCTTTTATGCTAGCTGACTTCTCCTTCTCCTCCTCCTCACGACCATCCACGGCCAGTGTTCCCCGCCGGACCTCAAGCACGACCCTCTTCGCCCAGTGTTCCCTGCCGGACCTCGACCGCCGTCTTGCCTTCCTCGCTGTCTTTTTTGGTCATCCTCCTTTCCTGTTCTTTTCCTTCGCGCTCTCTCTCTCTCTCTCTGTCTCTCTCTCTCTCTGTGTCTCTCTGAGGAAAGGAAAGAGGGAGAGATGCCGATTCTTGCTGCTTCGTTTCGTGTCTCGCGTCCTTTTCTTCATCCCCCCTCCCTCCCTCTCCTTCCCTCCATCTCCTTGGTGAGTCGCTGTCTTCCCCGTTTTATTTTCCTCTCCGTCCTGCCGCCTCTGTCTCCCGTCCTTTAAAGGCAATCCTGTGCTACGGGTGCTCCGAGCGGCCTTTTCAAGGCCAGTCTGTGCTACGGGCAGCCGGCCGTGGGGCCCACCCCAGGATCTGCCGCGAACCAGGCCGATCGCCATTGAAATTGTATTAAAAGTTAGACAAACTCGGGCGCCCGTCCAAAAGTCGGGCAATCCTGTGCTATGAGAAGACTGTTCGAGGCGATCCTGTGCTACGAGAAGGTTTTTAAAGGCAATTTAAAGGCAATTCTGTGCTACGAGAGGGCTGTTCAAGGCAATCCTGTGCTACGGGTGTTCCGAGCGGCCTTTGCAAGGTCAGTCTGTGCTAGGGGCAGCCGGCCGTGGGGGCCACCCCAGGATTTGCCGCGAACCGGGCCGATCGCCATTGAAATTGTATTACAAATTAGACAAAATCCGGCGCCCGTCCAAAATTGGGATTCGACCGGCACTCCTGTGCTACGAGAGCTTCAGAGGCAATCCTGTGCTACATCCTCTGCTACGAGAGGGCCGTTAAAGGCAATCCTGTGCTACCACCTCTGCTAGGAGAGGGCTTTTAAAGGCAATCCTGTGCTACGAGGGTGCTTTTCAAGGCAATCCTGTGCTACGAGAGGACTGTTCAAGGCAATCCTGTGCTACGAGGAGGCCTTTAAAGGCAATTCTGTGCTACGAGAGGGCTGCTAAGGCAATCCTGTGCTACCTGCCCTCCCTACCCCTCGCCCCCTCTCCTTCTCAAACAATTTCAGTTTGGTTTGAAACAGAGTCCACATGGCTGTCATCCCTCGAGATACCTATAAGGCCAAGAGCCCCTAGTAGCTTCCAGCTACTAGTAGCGTTCTTGCTCCTAGTAGCGATGCCAGAAGCCCTTAGTAGCGTCCTTGCTCCAGTAGTAAGGCCAGGAGCCCCTAGTAGCTTCTTGTTCCTACTTGGAACCTTGAGACTTGGGACCCACCTTTACCTTTGCGACTCCCTTTTAACATGTGGTCGATGTCTTCGCCGTCTCTGGGCAGGACGACGTGACATTAGCGAAGCTTTACGACTCAGTGGGCAGCTGCTACGATGAAATGGGGAGGCGATGGTGGGGGCGGGATGAGAGGGAGTCGACGGAAGTGAGTAGACCTCTTCCCGAAGAACGCCGTCAGGCATGAGGAGGCGGTCGAAGTTCTCCAAAAGGCCAAGGACGGCTCCGCGGTGGGCGGGGGGAAGGGGGCAATGAGAGGCAACATGAGGGGAATGTGGAGAACGTAGGGTCAATGGCAATGAGGCCCATGTTGGCTCAGCGGTGTTGATCACCAATCGCGCTCTGCGATGTTCCAACCAGTAGGCTTCGGCTCCAGTGCGCTTCCATTTCCGTTGCCGCGAAATCTGGAAGCACTGTTATTATATGTATGTATTTATGTATTATGGTAGGGGATGCTCGCATCCATCCGGGGCCGCATGCAAGGCCAATTGTACTTGCCTGAGCTGATATAGCGTCCTGATGGTTTGTGCCATGTGCCCTCAAATCGACATTCCCTATATTCAAAAATATTGGCGAGCGATGGAGGTGCCTGGGTAGGTCTGCCTTGCCCGGATCAAAGCCTGCAAAGGCCATGTAGTTCTGCATCTGGGTCAACTCATGGTAGGGAAAAATCAGTTTGCTACGGGGCAATGTGCGGAAAGTGAGACGGTGATACTGGGGCAAACGAGAGGGCAATGAGCTGGCGATAAGAGGGCATTGGAGGGCAACCAGGCCAAGTTAGAAGGGGGCAATGAGGGCAAAGAGGGGGGAATGCAACAGTGAGAGAGCAATGTGGCGGGGGGTGCAGGGGGCAATGAGAGGGACCATGTACATTTTCGGTGAGGCAATTGTGAGCGCAATGACAGGGTGACGAGGGGGGCAACGAGGAGGCAATGGAGGGGGGGAATGTGGGTGCAACGTGGAGGCAATGAGGGTCAGGGTCAATTTCAACTATTGCTATACTGACAGCACCCAGCATTTTGTCTTTACATCCGCTTGCCTTTCAGTTCATGGAACTTCCAGAACGGACCCCGGGGTCTCCCACCACGGTGGTTCGAACCGGCCACGGTTCGAACCGCTCCAGGACTTGTATGATCGCTCCATCGGTACCGAGAGCCCCTTGTACGGCAGCGCTTGTGAGCGGCTGAGCCGAGCGCTCGTGCATGCGCAGCGGCATCAAGAAGGTGAGGAAGCCAAGGTGAAGGGCTGTTCCCCCTTCAACATGTTTGCAGGCTAGAAAGACGAACGTAGTTTGAAGAGCTGATCATGGATTGCGCGGAAGTCCAGAGTCAACAGCAAGGCTAGTCAGTGTGGTTTTGGAGTGGCCCCTCCTTGACATTGGTTCAAAATCATCATGGACAGGTGTCATTGGAACTTGGAAGGCTTTTCTTTGAGGGGCACTTTCGGGCAGCTACTTACTGTGGTGATCTGTTTCGTGGCCCACCCACCACACCTGCAGGTTTGGACAATCTCATCGAAGCCTTCACAGTCGCTTCTTCAGCACTGAGAAAGCCCCCTGTTCGCTTGGCGTGTCCACTGTTCAATTGAAATTTTTGAGGGGTTGGAGGCCATCACAATTAGGTTCCTTTTGCTAGTAGGTTGGAGACCATTCCTATTGAAAGTCAGGGTTGGGTTTCTGAGTATCTCGAGTGATTTGGACTGTGCAGACAGGGCAGACAGGGCAGACGCCCCGGGCCGACAGGGGTCCGGCGGTGGACCCAGGTGTCAGAAGCTGAAACCGTTTAGGAGCCTGGCGATGGACGAGGTCTAAGAACACCTTTTTTCCAGATAAGCCTCGTTAGAATGTGAACATTTCATTCTTAAGTTTTCTAAAGTCATCGAAGTTTGGCCCAAGCCAGATGTAGGCAACATCCTTCGAACAAAAACCAAAAAAAACAGTGTCAGGCGCTGTGTCTCTAACCCAAACCATGTGCACTCCTTGCTGATGACCGTGACCCTCACTGCAAGTCTCCATTTACAAATGAGTGGCATCGGGATCATGAACCCTTGTTTGCTGAGGACTGCGAAGACCCCAAACTAATCCACCAAAGAAGCATGCTTTGCGTCAATCCCAGCAGATCTTGCGCTTTTGTCGGAAGGTTAGCGCCACAGAATTTAGTCGAGCGATTTGTTCCTCTCCGTATTGCCCAACTTGCCCATGCAGACTGGGAGTTCTTTGGCTGAAGCAAACAAAGACAAATTGAGGCATTGAGCACCGGCTCATGACCACAGGCTGAACAATACTTGTGCGGACTGAAGGAACGCTTGCGCAATCTAGAAGGCACGTGCGTTTGCCTTTTTCAAGGCTGAGGTTGGGTCGGGTGCCTGCAAAATGCTAGGGACAAGCCCCCCAAGCTCTGGTCGCCGCAGACTGGGCAGCAAGGCTGAGCGGGTTGTTGACCTGAAGCGACATTTTGCCCTCTCGAAGCTCCGAAGAGTTGCAAGGGTTGTGCAGAAGCTTCGGTTGCTGCAGGGTGCAGAAAACCGCCGCAGCTAGAGTGTTGGAGTCCATTCCGGGTTTGGTGAATCTTGTTACTTTGGAAGTGGAAAATGATGCTGGACTTTCACCTTACCCAATCGTGTGACTGCCACTTGGGTTCCCATTCAGCCACTCCCTCGGACATCCTTGGACTGCGACCCCTCCGAGGTCATTGCGCTTCAGGACGCTGTGCACCCCACGCCGCTCTTTGAGCTTTTGGGCATCGCTTTGGAGGAGATCCCCATCACCAAGGAGGCCGAGCCACCCGATGCAGGGTTCCAGGTGTTGGGGAGGTTTCAGATGTGATGATTTAGGACCTGTAGGGCCTGTAGAGCCTGGTTCTTATGGCAGGGGGTTTGGGGTTTTGCAGCTTCCAAACGACAAGGCCAACACCCTGAAGAGGCCATTGAGATCCACTGACTGTGGGGTCACCCCCCTGGCTCGATCCTAAACGAACAGAATTCGCGATGAGGAACCCTGCTTCGCAACAGAAACAAAACATGAGTCTTGATCCATTTGTTAATCCGTTCATATTTTAGGATCCATCCATCTACCCAATCTACCTGATGCAGACTGTTGAATAGAAAGCCCCTTTTTACGGAGATAGTCCGTGATAGTTCAACATATCCGTATTAGGGAGTTTTCATCATCAACAGTAGGGGACGCTACTAGGGGCTCCTGGCATCGCTACTAGGAGCAAGGACGGTACTAGGAGCTGTTGAACCCACCGAGATGTGCCCCCGGCCACCAGGTGGACGTGCGCGAGCTGGCGCGGCTGGAGATGCCGATCCAGGCGGCGGTGCGGAACATGCGCTATCGGGGCCTGGATCAGGTGGGGCGTACCATGTTCTTTTCATTTCGAACCTCGACAACTTCCGCAGTTCGAGATGACTGGCTGAAAATCAAAATGAAATCACATGAATCGTTTACCAGTTCAGGATCCTTTCATCACCTGTGGCTACCCTTTCTTCCATCACAACATTTTGCACCATGCCTACCCTCGGTCGTCCTTCAGTGCCCAGGATGGCAACTGTGGAGTCCTCTTCGAGCGCATGGCGCGCGCGCTGGTGCTTTGCAGCTCTGCCGGTGGCACGGCCGAGGAGCAGCGCTCGGCCGGGCAGCGCCGCGCGACCGCGCGGACGCTTCTGCTGCACGCACGGCCGCTAGTGGAGCAAGCCACCAAAGAGGGCCTGGCGGATTTGACGTGACTGGCACAAATGGGGGAGCTGGGAAATGAGTTCAGTTTATCCGTTTATCGCTTGGATACCCACTTGATAAGAAGTGCAAATCATTCACAGTCTTGTTGAGAACAGTGGGCAGTGTTTGTGTTTTTGTGGCGCTTGAGGAGGCCTCTTCGTTTGTGTGCTCAATGGACCACAAGATCAGACGTGATGTAGACTGTAAACAGTTGCTAGCAACCAAGACTTGCGCAAACAGAAAAAGATCGCTGCAAGTGCAAGATGCATTGCGCTCTGTCCCGGAGGTTGCACCTTTGGTGTTTCCCTCCTTTGATGTTTATCTAACGGTTGCCAATTCCGCATTCTGGGTGAGGGTGTTGATGCTTCGAGCAGACATGGAGTTGGTTTCATCAGCAGCCCCAAAATTGATGGGGTGAATAAGCCTGACATTCTGCTCAGCTCAGTAGAATCTCTAGAACTACTTGAAGCTTTAGCAATCTTTTTAGTTGGAGATATGGACCGATCAGGCCACAATCTTTCAAGAAAGGTTCCATGAAGATCCTATACTGCATTTTTGGGATCCTTGGCAGGGCAGAGGATATCTGACATGAGCGGCTGCAGGCATATCTCCATGCTGATTGACACGGAGCTGCAAGCCTTAGAGAACCAAGATGCCGCTGCCCGTCTTGGTTTGCCCCAGCAGATGGGCCAAACGCCGGCAGCGCCAACACCCGTCCCATCCAGACCAGCTCCACCAGTGCCTCCAGTCGCTGTGGCACCACCGGTGCCCGCACCCGTGCCCGCACCGGTCCCAGCAGTCCCACCGGTGGCTGCACCGGTGGCAGCACCGGCCGCGGTGCCGGGAGCGCCGACGGGGTGGCGACGGAGATGAGGAGACGAGGAGATCCTCGTAGCCTGCGACGAAGACGACGAGGGTCACCAGTTGGTGATCAAGCGTGGTGAAGCGTCGGAAAAAGCAGAAAAGGAGTCAGTGTGGCTGCCTGCGATTCTGGGACCCTGAAATCATTGTACAGCGCCTCCAAAGAATGGACTGCCTTTACTTCTTGTCACCACTTGAGGGTGCTACGTAGGCAGTCTTCACTCAGCAGCTTCACTCAGCTTCAGGGCCAGAACGCCTGTTCAGCATGCAGGTCCACCCCAAGAAGTCGGATGACGACCGGCTCCAAGGCACGAAGCTTCCGAGCGATGAAGCGACGCAGCGTGTTTTGGTGGTCTCCCACAAAGCGCTTTCGTGTCTGAAGCAACTCCAAAAGCGCTTTCGTGTCTGTCGAAATCCATGTACATGCAGTTTAGGGCCGAAAAAGGTGGGTTCTGATGTGGACAGAAAGTTGCGACAGTACATTGGAATCTCTTCACCAGCTTTCATGGACCAATGGAGATGGTCGCTCTCAATCTCTTTCTCTTGCATCCAATGGTGTACCAATCCAAGCAAGTAATCCGAACGCAAGGCGGTCTTGAATATTCATTGATCCGCTCAAAGGCTCAAAGTCTGTTTTATATCATGAGCTCTCACAATCTACACCACGGCTCCAAGTTCTGTTGATGGATCCATACTGACTTCAGCCACTGGAACTGCTGTTTGAACTTGACCTTTTTGCATCGTTCGAACTGACTTCTGCAGAACTCCAATACCCTCAGAGCCGGGAGCACCGACTTCTGGCCCGTTGGCGCCACCTGCGAGGTGCCGTGCCCGCGGTGCCTGCGGTGCCGGCGGTGCCGGCGGTGCCTACGCCGGACCCCATAGGCACCAGATGCGCTGGACTCCGCCGGACTCCACTCGTTTGTCGTGGTTGGAACTCGGTGTTTTTCTGCAAGACGAGTTACCCACAAAGGTCAGGTGGGTTGCTTCGTCAGACCTAGCGAAAGGCTACAATTGTTGATTTTATTTGGCCTTTCGGCTAGTGGTCTTTCCTGAGACACTTAAGTTCTTGAGACAGCAATTTGGCTGATGTGCACACCATCAGCTGTAAAAGGATACCTGCATTGGGGACCAACACAGTAGTGCCTTATGTCAGACATTCGCAAGAATGAAAGAAAGAAGCTGTTCTGGGACCCGAACTATCAAGTTGCATCATCCCACATATTCTGTACCAGTGGAGATTTAGCACTGTTAAGAATGGTCTTGAATGTCTGCTCAGGGACTACCCATTCCCCTCGGTTAGGGACCAGCTTGCTTTTTTCATGCTTGCCAGGCAATCCTCCACCACCCTCACCGTCCGTGAAAAAGCGGGCTAGAGCCCCAGTGGCAGTTGCTGCGGGAATTCGCCACTGATCAGTCTTGCATGCACCTTCTGTCAACCACTGGCTTGTAGAGGAAAGGGACCCTATACATTGTGAGAGAATGCGTCTTAGCCTGCGGTAGGACCTCCTTCACCAACCCCTCTTTCAGGAAGCTTACGAGATCTTCCTGTCCTTTCTATCTATCTTCAGGGCTCTTCACTGACATCTCTTCCTGTCCTTATGACTGTATGGTTCTGGAACTCTTTTCGCATTCTGAGGGTGAGGATGTGCAGTTGCGGACGCCACTTGGCAGCGAGGAGGATGCCAGGAGGGCTCCAGACATCACTGGTTGAGGGAAAGAAGGTTGGTCAATTGCTCCGTGAATTCCTGCCTATGTAGGAATTAGGATGATTCGGAGTTGTAGGAGTGGTCGAGAGTCCATTATTTAGCTGAATGGCCAGGCATGAGAAGTGTTTCCGATGGAGTAGGGAACATCATCGAGACTGGAGAATCACCATTTGGGTGTGTCGATGTAAGGAGGAGAACTTCCTTTATAGATCAGAGGATTCTCTCCATTCCGCTTCGGAGTCGGAGGAGTGCCTGACCCGTGTGTGTGTGTTTATTCGTGTCTTCAGGTCCAACTTCATGCACTGGCGTTTCCAATTGCACATCAAATTGCACCCTCCATTTTCATCCATTTTCCAGATCCACTGCCGATGAACGCACGATCGTCCGCCCGAGGCTTCACCAGGCGCCGGCCCCGCCGCCCTCGCCCTCGCTCTCCTTGCCGATGCGGTCGCCCTCGGCGCCGGGGAGGCGGGGGTTCGTGGTGTGTCCTAGTGGAACGATGAAGGAGCCGTGGGCGAAGTGACACGAAAGCTTCCTGAAAGTTTGTAGATTCCGTGTCAAATTTCTGAGATTTCCCACTCAAACCCAACCGGATGGGCCAAGTAGTCCTGAACATCTACTTTCAAGAGGAGCTAGCAGCTAGTATGTCACCGAGGTATCTTTGAGTGGAACTTCTGCGGATTTGCTTCTAGACCCCAGAGACCTGTGGGGCTCCATTTTGGGAGGACAGGCTATTTTCAGGAAACCAAACTCACTCTAGGACTCCAGGGGAATAAACTACCCACGAACCACACGATCCACTTGCGCGGCAAACGCAAAGGGATTGGACCAAATGACCGCCAAACACGGAAGAATCCACCATTGTCGGTGAGCTCTCTGGAGGTATATGGTTTGTGTTGCAGACAAGTGATGAAGCTTTTCCGTATATCAAAAGAGCGAGACGTAGCCTCCCCGGAGATCGTCTTGGTTTTGTATCATGCTCATGAGTCATGGGATTCGACCATGCGTTTCTCCACAGCCAGTGGGTTTGCGCAGTCTCAACTCAACACAGTCTGGTTAATTTCAAGAAGGTCAAGATGGGCCCATTAAACTGCGGGAGTTGTGGAGGAGATGTTGTGTGTGTATAGGTCTGCAGGCGGGTAGGGGAATGATGAACACTTGGGTTTGAGGTCTCAAACAAGATCATGCTGTAAGCCTGTTGGTAGGACATATGGATGCAGTTCAACCAGACAAAGCTTCACGGAATCTGCTTGTGAACGATGTAAGCCAAGTGTTGGGGCATTTCAGTTCTTAAAGCTGCCACAGGCAGCTGACCCCAATCTGCTTCAAAGCAATGTTTTGCTTGAGGGTCCCACCTTGGCTATCCCCATCCCATCAATGCCAACAATTCACCCGCAATCCACCTGCGATGCAGGCAATACTCTGAGGTCCTCGCGAATATTCTGAATAATAGCCCGACGCTGGACAGGAGAATAACACCTCATGCGCACGCCGACGATGGAGCGGGATCAACCCACCGGGACACACCACCAAACGGATGCTTTCAAGGGAACAAGAAAGTGGATCATCTATATAGAACAGTAATACATTTAATTTTTGGGCGTGATCCAATCGGGACATAATCCTAGTCGACATACTTCTTGATCGGCAACTTGGTCCAATTCCCAGGCGTGGAACCCAGTAGTGCACTCATGGGAGTTGATCTAAATGGATCTACCAATGAGGGCACAAACCGAAGGTTTGCCGGAGCCACCTTGCTCTCTTTTGAGCCAAGAACCACCTCCACACCTCAAGTATCGAGGTGTTCTTTTGCTGGAGCCATGAGAGGAAGCCTACCTGAAGTGGTTAATGGCGCTGTCCACCCTCACCCAACTCTGCTAACTCTGATACTCTGCTACTGTTGATGGACAAAACTCTGCTGTCAGCTGACCCCACGTGGAGCCTCCAACAAGTTGCAACTCACGACCTTTCAGTCGCCAACAACGCGGCACTGGTAGTTTCTTGCGCCTCCCAATCGTTTGATCTGTGATTGATCAAACACACAGACAACCACCTGCGAGACTATATAGTGACCGTATGCAAAACCTTGGTTTTTGCTTGGGGATGGCATTGCGGCGTCCAATGGGTGTTGCAATGGTTTGTTATCAAAGATAATCATTCCTGATCATTTATTTTTATATAACACGATCAAATCCGTGCGAAGGGAACCTGGGTAGAGGGAGAGGTCTCCTTCAAGGATTGATCACAGTCTATCATATTTCTTTCCAGGTTTGGCTATCCATGATTGAAGAAGCACCTCGGCACCGAGGATCTCGGAGAACAATCGCTGCAAGGCTGCACAAGGGCCACCCTGTGTGGTGGGGAGAAGGAATCCTGAACAAGCTCTGGCTTGATTGGTTGGGTGGTTTAGTTTGGTGGTTTGGATTTCTCAGGTTTTGCTTGGTTGAACGATTGCTTGTTTCTGAGGTTTGCAACATGGTGATGTCATCTTTCTTTGCAGCGGCAACATGACCAGACCCCACGACCAAAACCTGCAAAAACCATGAAAAACCATGGGTTCTACCGAACAAACACTCCTGCATATCAGGGTCCTCGCACCAGCCCATTCGAAACGACCGATGTGTCCGAAGACCTCGTGGCCCCAGAACGCCGGGTGATCGGGGTGACCGGGGTTCGGGTCGCATGTGACAGATGGGAATGCACCGGTGTCACCGAAAGGCCGCCGAACCTGCAAAACAAAAAGCACTTCGTGGTGTCCTTCGAACTGACAGTGGTATGTTTGGATTTGAGGATTTGGGATACACGTAACTGCCGGATTCAAAGGGTTGGTGGTTGTATGGGCAGTGCGAAGCGAAGATGAAGAATGACTTTTCCACAGCGAGGCGGCCAGAGCAAGCGGCCAGTAGAGGCAACGAATGAATATGATAAATCCGTGGTCAATGGATTTTTGAAGTAGATTTTTGATGATTTTTGAACACTGTTGGTCAGATTGAATCAGTTGTGCTTTGACTACCTTCAGTTTCAGGCAGCCCTTACGTCAGCTTACTGTAGATGTCGTACCAGGACCGGCTTCACTAATGGAAGGTCAACGTGCAGTTCCCATATGGCATATGGATTTGACCAAAGCCTGAGTATATATTTCCCTCGACTATCTTGACTACTTTTGACACCACTCAGCTGAGAAAATTACATTGGTCCCACCTACATTTGGACCTTGATGCACCAGTTTATCCCTTCTCAAAACTTCCCTCTTCTGCCATGGCTCCTTGTGGCGCTCGGGCGCGGGGCCGCTCCCTGTGCTCA